GATACCAGAGACAATGGGAGGAGGGTGGGACATGGCAGAGGGTTAGGAATAGGGAATCAAGGATGGCAAAAAAATAAAAAGAAAAAAGAAAAACGTATAAGACATAAGAAATGGAAAATTGTTTGTTGATAACATGTATGTTGATATGTTTGATTAGCCAACAGACAGTGTATTTTGGATGGAAAATTCATTTTGTATACTGTAATGATGTATAGCGTATTAATGTTAAAAAACAAAGAAAAATTAATTAATAAAAAAAAGTCTACAGATAGCTGGAAGTCGGCCTCTATTTCCTGATTGTCTTTTGGGATGATCACTGGAATCTCTGTTGAGCTTCTTCCCTCTGCTTTCTTGATTTTAAAGATGAGGATCACTTCTCCTTAATACTTCTTGAAGCACATATTTCTCACACTCCACATCTGAAACAAGGGCATGCAGGCTCCTCTCTTTGCATGGGAACTCTGTGTCTCTGAGGATCTTGGTCCTGAGGGTAAGGAAAAACACCCACCTTACAAGCCTCTGTGACAATATACATAAATTGTATTGTCTGGGACTTTCCTCCTAGTAGAGAACCAGACTTAATCATCTGTGGATGTGTCTCAGCAATAGAACAGAAAAGAAAGACACGAGGATATAAGGAAAATCCTACAAAGATCAGTTCCAGGTGGATAGTATGTACTGAGGGCCATTATAAAACATTTTGGAGCTATCATAACATTTTATCTATACAATGACCTTAGGAAGCAGCTATTTTCTCAATTTTACTAATAAGGAGTCAGTCTTTGATCACCTGTGCTCCCAAGTTCTAGATTGAGATATAAACCCAGGACTTCCTGGCTCTAAAGTCAATGCCATTTCCACTACCATGTGTGGATTCCTGAAAAGGGTAGGGGGTCTAGGAGTCCCAGAGCCATAGACTAGCTCCCACAAGGCAGTTGGAAAAGACACCTGCAAGATCATTGGTACATGATATAAGATGCAAGGGAACCACAGACTCTCCAGGAGACAGGACAGCCACAGAGCCAAAATATAGCACATGCCATTCTATGGGACCCCTACCCAAAACAGTGGAGGGAGAGGTTGTTGGAAAAGCTGAGGGAGAAGCCCCTTGATCTTGAAAACCCAGGCCTTCCTTGGGCCCATAAATCCAAGGAGACTTGGACTCTGACACTCAGCCCAGGACTGCTGCTTTGAGATCTGCACCCTGCTCCTTTCTATACTCCACTCTGCTGGTGGCAGGGAAGGAGACCAACAGTGACTTGGCATTGAGTTGTAGAGGATGGAACTCCTTCTTTGGCTCCTGGACCTACTCTTCACCACCTTCAGAAAACAGCTCTTTTAGGCATGATGAGGTAAAGAGCTGCACAGTGGGTCTTTTGTCTTTCATAAGCCATATGTGCCAGATCCAGATCCTTTTAGCCAAAGCCTTGACCTGCCTAAGGGGCTGACTCCAGAGAGGACCTGAAGAGTGATGCTGAAGGGGTCCTATCTGCCCTCTACCAGATGAGAAATCTACTTCTATCATGACAGGTAGAATTCTTGTTGACCCATGAGAAAGCACCCATTGACAAAAGAAACTGACCCAGAGAAACCTTTAGCCCTAAAGATGCATCTCCATGGGGGAAGAGACTACAGTCAGCGCCCAACTCTGGTCCTATGAATCTGTCCTTTCCCCTTAGGACTCTAGGTCTCACCTTACCACTGTAAAAAGAGCATGGGAGCTCTCAGATTGGAGCAGAAAAGATTTGAGGATGAGGGCATGCAGGAGGGATGTTCTCACTCCCAGTGTCCCCATAGTGAGACCACAATAGGGCTCTGTTTCTTTCTTATTGTCCCTGATATTACATACCCCAGTATACACATGTGTCATCCTCTTTTTTAACATTCCAGTCTGAGAGGACCACAAAGCCCATCTTTGGTTTTCTTTAGGCACAATAGAAACATCAGGAAGTATCTGCACAAAGAACTTCCTGAAGCACTCTGGGAGAAGGTAAGGACTATGCCAGAAGCTGTAAGAGCCTGACTTTCTCAGCATGTGTCTCTGATCCAATCATGGCCAATTCTTTTATGGGATTCATATGCTGTGCTGGGATCTAAATCAGCAGGAGGCTGGCTACTGCATTCTGTTTCTGCCCATGCTCAAAATAGGGATACTTTTTACCTCCAGCCTCAGGAAGCAAGTGTTTGAAGGATGGATCCCCTCTCCAGCCAGTAAGTACAGAAACCTGAGTTGCAGACTGCTAGAGTCTTACTCCTTAGCCCCAGTTCCCACTCTGAGGAATACGTTATTTTTTTTCCCAATCAGTACTTGATTATGATTGATACCACTTATTATCCCATAGTTCAGATGAGAGTCAACACCCTACATTGGGGGACATGGCTATGGCCCCACAGTCTGACAACACTTAAGCCTGATAAGACCCTTAACATCCAAATACCAAGAATTAGTCAAATACAGTACAACAAGGAGCTGATTCTGTCATAGATGGCGGTTCACTTCTCTGTACTGTGAAATGTGGGGACTTCCATTAAGCCTCAAACAATAATCTTTATTTTAAAAATATTTGGATAAAGGTGGGCCACTGTATTTCCATTCTTGTTTGAGAAGCATGAGGAAATTGCTTTAAATTTAAGTGAGAAAAATGAAAATTGGAAACATGGTTTCCAGTGAATCTTAGAACTGAGTTTTGAAAATTGAAGAACCTCTAGCCCATGGCAATCTTTTTCCCCCTTAGGGCACGTGTGCTCACCAGAGAGAGAAACAGACAGACACGGGGAGAGGAAAAGTAAAAAAATCACCCTCCAGGGGGATGGACACACTGCAACACTTTCTCCTACATTCTCCTTCAGGGATCTTGAGTGCCCAGTGTGATTTTGAAGCTACCGAGTTTGGGACTCAAACTGCAGTCAGCAATGTGGGAGTTCAGTGATGTAACTACTACATCATCATCTTCTGGTCCCTGTCCATGGCAATCTTTAATGGAAGAAGATTGCTGTCTTCTAAAATATGAAAGAGAAGTTCTGTTGGGAGGGGAGAAAATAAATGAGGTGATCTCATTGGAGCTAGGATACTAAAGTAGCTTCTCCCATGGCTTTTCCATCCCAGAGAGTGTCTGAATCCTCACTGTTTATGCTACCCATCTACTCACCAAACCTAAGAATCACTAAACCATTGACAGCAAAATCTTTAGAGGTCATTAAGTCCATCTTGTGGCTATATCACCACAGGCAGTCATCCCACTTCAGATTAGATAGCTGCTTGAAGATATACCTTTATTGAGGAGAATTCTCTATCTCTGGAGGCAGCCATGAGGGACTGACCCTTAGTTTCTACATGTTACAGTTTACGTTTGGTATTAAAATACAGACATACTAGCAAATCCTTTACGGCAATGTCGTACCCTTACAGTGGAGTGGGGATGGTCTCACTCGAAATGTTAATTCATTAACCTACTCATTCATTCATTCATTCAATAAATACTGAGCCTCTATGAGGAGTGTTTAAAAGTTTATGAAAAATATGTACTTTTTTAGTTCTGTGGGGTTTTTTGTTTGTTCGTTTGTTTGTTGGTTTTTGCCATAGGGTGTGTACGTTCACCAGAGAGAGACAGAGAGGGAAAGATAGAAATCATCCCACCCCCAGGGGATGGCCATACCGCAATCCCTCTCCTCCATTCTCCTCCTCAGATTTCGCACACATGTGCATATATACCCAGCATGATTTTCAAGTTCCCAGGTCCAGGACTTGAATTGAGGCTGGCCATGTGGACGTCCAGCTACCTTAATCACCACATCACCTGATAACCCCAGAAAATGTGTGTTATAAAGAAATTATGCTTGGGTCTCAAAATGTTTTGCACCAAAATAAACTTGTACTTAAATTAATTTTTCCCACAAACTTTTTGAAGCCCACTCATAGATAGAATTTAGTGATAGATGAGTATTAGGAAGAGGGTGAGCCAAGGATGACCTTCAGGTTTCTGAATTATATAACTGGAGAGTTGGGAGGTGCCCTTCACTGAAAAAAAGGGTAACTGGTAGAGAACAGATAAAAAGAAAAAGATCATGGGTTTAGTCTTGGGTGTATTGAAGTTGAGTTGTGTTTCAGTCATCTAAGTAGGGATCTAGATATGGGATGCATACTATGGGCATCAATGAAATTTCCTAGAAAAAAAAAAAAGGCCTCCAAACTAGGTCCCAGAAGGCAGCCTTGAGGAGCTCCAACAATTTTTTAATTGCCAGAGGGTGTATGCACTCATGAGAGAGACAGGGGGAGAAAGCACCCCCTAATGGGGTTTGTCCATACTGCAATCCCTTCTCCTCCATTTCTCCATCCTGTCAGGACTTTGGGAATGTGCACACATGTCCAGCATCTCTCTCAAGGCTGAGATTTGAACCACAGTTAGCCGTGTGGGAATCTAGCTCCCCTAATCATCAGACTATGGAGCCAGCCAGAGGAACTCTAACATTTAAAAGCTGATCAGTTAGAGAAAAAAATAAATCCCCAAAGGAAACCAATAAGCAGTTCTCAGAGAGGTAGGACAAAAAGAAAGAAAGAAAGCTAATGGGAGAAATTATGTCAATAAAGAGGAAGTTGTATAAAATGTCAAATGCCCCTGATGAGTCAAATATAACAATGATTCAAAGCATCCTTTGGATTCAGTGACATGAAGGTCATTAGTGACCTGAGTGAAAGCATTTTTGGGGTAGTGATGGGGGAAGAAACATGATTGGAGTAGGCTGAGAACTGAATATAGACAACTTTTAAGAAGTTTATTTGAAAGAGGAAGAAGGGGTAGTGATAACTGGAAGGGGTGTAAGGTTGAGGAGGACATATTTTATGATGGAAGACATTATTTCACTTGTTACTGAGAAGGGTTCAGTTGAACATAGGCAGTTGACTACACAAGGAGAGAAAAGGGTAGTTGATAATATGAGAAGGTGGGAACTGACAAGCTACAAAACACTAGTAGATGGCATGATCCACTAAGAAGAATGGCTACCTCCTCCACTGTTAGAGAGAGAAATCCTACAGAGGATGTAGATATGGAGGTGGGAAGAGAAGGCCCTGCCTTGTGCTTGAATTATCTCAATGGAATAGGTGACAAGGTTGTCTGCTAAGAGTTAGAGGGTAGGTAAAGGGGTTAGAGGTATGAGAAAAGACTGGAGAATATTCATCATAGAGTGTGAAATGTACTAAAAAAATTTAGTGTCTGGTAAGATCATGAAACAGTGTTGAGGGCTGGTTGAGACATGATTGATAATGGGGCAGTTCAGTGACAACGGAGGTTGATGGCTGAGGTAGAGTGGAAGAGATAAAGAAGTTTAGGACCCAGGAGGCCCTAGTAGTGACTGAATCCTCAACTTGCACATTGAAGTTCCCTAGGATGATGGCAGGCCTCCTGGTAGGGTGTGTAGACAGAAGTGAGACAGAAACCATTGAGAAAGAGGATGTATTAGCTTCCTAGGGCTGCTTCAGTAAATTACCACAAAGTGGGTGACTTAAAACAATAGAAGTTGGGGTCAGCAGATGGCATAGTAGTTACATCACTGGACTCCCACATGGCCAACAATGGTTCGAGTCCTGGACCTAGTAGCTTAAAACTCATGTCAGGCAGTTATGCATGTGTGCCCAAGATCCCAGGAGCAGAATGGAGGAGAAGGGATTATGTGGCCATTCCCCACCAGGGGAGGTGATTTCTATTTTCTTTACACCATCTCTGTCTCTCTCTCCAGTGAGAGCACACAATCTATGGAAAATTTTGAAAAAAAAAAAACCCACAAAAACAGAAGTTTATTCTCTCATACTTCTGAAGACCAGAAGTCCTATATCAACGTGTTGGCAGAATTAATTCCTTCTAGGGTCTCTGAAGGAAAATCTTTTCCATAACATTCTCTCAGTTTCCAGTGACTACTAGCCATCCTTGGCTTGCAGTTGCATCATGTCAGTCTGTGCTTCTGTCATCACATGATCAATTTCTCTCTGTGTATATATCTATATACAATGTTATCTTTATAAATATATATATATATATATATATATAATATACATATAATCAAACATAACCTCATCTTTTTAAAAATACTTTATTTAAGAATTATTTATTTATTTTAATTCAATTTGTTATTATTATTTTTTCAATTTGACCAGAGAGAGACAGGGAGAGAGAAAGGAAAAGGGAGAAAGCAAGCCACAGGTCCAGGACTTGAACCACAATCTGCCATGTGGAAATCCAGCGCCTTTAACCACCACACTACCTGCTGGCTCTATGACCTCATCTTAACTTGATTGTATCTGCAAAGACCCTATTTCTAAACAAGGTCACTTTCACAAGTACTGGGGGTTAGAACTTGAACATATCTCTTTAGGTGACACAATTCAACCCACTACAGAGGATATATTCCGGAGTTCTGAAGATGACAGCAATGAGAAGTGAGTAATGTATCAAAATTATGTGACTCAAAAAACCTGTAGTTTTTGCAAGAGACAAGAAACAAAATGCTCTGTAAGTAGTAACAGGGATCAAGTAGGACATCTATTCCACATTCTGACCCCAGGGTTCTGGAAAAGATGACAAGCAGCTTTCACAAAAGAAGGTAGCAGAGGAAATAGAGACCTTCAGTGAGAACTGTTTCTGTTAGGTAGAAGAGGTTGAGAATGCTGATTAGGGAGTAACTGGTCAAGAGGGTCTCAGTGGAGGCTTGGGGAAATGGAAGAAAAGTGAAAGGTTAGGTTGGGTTAAGAAAAACAGCAGTATGAGAATCAATGTGAAACTGGAGATGGGACATGCACATTGGAAGTTGACGGATGACTATGGCAGATGTGGGGGCAGAGTGACTTTAGACCTAGTAACTTTGAGGAGGTTGTAATTGGACTTAATGTACAGAAAACTGGTCCCTCATCTAGGGTTGGTGGCAGCTCCAGTAGCCTCAGACTCTGCACATTACAAACTCTGGAGTGGTGATGACCCTAGAGGTAGCCACCTCTGTACCTTTGCAGCCTAGAATGAAACCTATTCTAGAGTGAGTCTACTCCGTCAATTACCTAGGGACAGCCTAAAGTCTTTGTAGTAGGAGTGAGGAGTGAAAAGGAAAGCCCAATATGGGGTACAATGTCTTGGTTTTGACGAGGAGGTATCAAAATATCTAGGAGGAATCCTCTGGGTTGTAGGTCTTAAAATGGGGCCCTTCATCTCTCTGCCTCATCTATGCCAACTCAGTCACGACTGCTAAATGATCAGGAAGCTGAAAACACTATTTGATTTTTGAACCTAGGAAAATATCCAGAGTCACTATGCCTCTTCTGAGAGGAGATAGTATGAACCCTGGAGCCAGAATACATGTGTTCATATTCTACCTCAGTCACTTGCTGTGTGATCTTACACAAGTGACTTAAGCTATCTGTATCTCAGTTTCTTCATCTGGAAAATGGATACAATAATAGTTCTTAACTCACATAATTGTAATAGAAGATTAACCGGTATGTATTAAGCATAACATTAAGTGTTTGTTTTTACTGTGATTGACTCTCTCTTCCATCCTTCCATGTAACCACTTAGAACTACCCTGCTTGCTCTATTCTCCCTGGATGTGAATCCAAACCTGAATAATTACTTCTGATATTTTGACTATGCAGGCTCTTTTCTGGATCTGTTTACCTCTAAATGATATAAGCCCAGAGCCTTCAACTATTACTTATATGATGTGGCTGCTGGTGCACCAATCTAGTAACTCACATTTGGACACTTTGTACTTTGTCATTGTATCTCAGTTTAAATGGGTTTTCTGCAATGGAGCACGGTGCTCCAGGTGGGATGCAGCAAATGTAGAGCAGGGAGAACCATGGATTCTCTTGTTCTGGTTCTATATTTCTGTTAATGTAACCTAAAATCTAATTACCTCTCTTCTCAACATTGTTACTTTGTTAGTTCACATTGACTTTACAATCAAATCAGGGTCTTTTTCATATGTACTGATGTTAAATGAGCAGGTCTCTTCAATCCTGTGCTAGAGGAACAAATCCTGTTGTTGCTGGGAGAGAGTCAAGTTCAGTAATCAAAGCCCAGAATATGAGGGTTCAGTAAAAAATGAAAGGTAGTTCAGGCAAGCCATTAGTGATTGAGCGTCAGGGCAGATGCTACTAGTTGCCTGCCCTATAACAATTTTTTTCTTCCTTATGTACATAATCCCCACTTGGTTTAGAGAAGCAATGTGACAACCAAAAATATTGAATTTCCCAGCTCATTTGCAGCTAAGAATGTCCATATGACACCCTTCTAGTCAGAGAAGTTGGTAGAATGGAGAGAGCTGTCTGTTCTGAATAAAAAGGTGGTTTCTCTAGAAGGACCTTTGTCCTTCACCAACTTACTCTCTAGCTCTTTCTTTTCTTCTACTCTAGAATACAGAAATGAGGCCCAGACCAGCCACAACTGTCTTGTTACCATAAGGGGGAAAAAAAAAAAAAAAAAAAAACCAGCTCTATTAAATCCTAGCCAAGGCTTTGACGGCATCATTGAGGTACCTTACCAGCCCTGGGCCATTTATAGAGTTGCCTATTCTTTTCCGTTGAAAGCATTCCTAGCTAGCATAATGTTACAAAAGGAAAACCGTAGCTCTACATGGAGGGCAAACATGACTATATGAAAAGACTTCAAAAAGTTCATGGAAAATGGAATTAAAATATAAGTTTATTTTGGTATAAATCTTTTTGAAATCTATGTATAGCTTTTTCTCTTTTATAAAGCAAATACTTCCAAAAAATTTTTGCTATAGGTACATGCTTTTACCAGAGAGAAAAACAAGAGAGAAAGGGAAAGTGAGAAAGCACTCCCCAAGGGAGATGGCCGTGTTGTGATCCCTTCTCCTCCATTCTCCTCTTGTGATTTTGAACATGCATTCACACATACCCGGTGTAGTTTTTCAAGCTGCCAGATCTAGGATTTGAACCACACAGTCAGCTATGTTGCATCCATGTACCCTAAGCACCACTCCACCAGCTGGCCCTAGCTTTTTCACAATATTTATTTTCCATGAACTTTTTGAAGAACACCTTGTATAAACCCAGAGGGAGTGGATATTTAGAAATACGACTGAGCATTTGGGAATCAAAGGAGTCTGTCAGTGTGTTAAGGTTTGGGGTCAGGACTCTCTCCCTAGATGGTAGATTAAAAGAGCAAGACTATCCCTAAGGTAGTCAGGCAGGCGCTCTAACTGGGAGACACAGACACAGGATATAAGGCAAAAGGCCAATGATGAGAAGCGGAGAATGAAGTAGAGACTCAAGGCAAACTTGAGATCATACACCAGCAGCAAAGGGATGACTTGACATTAAATTCTGGTGTGTAGGCCAGGGTTACTTCAGTGCTTTTAATTTTAGGACAGGCATTGCGTGCAGGTAAGAGGTAAATCACTTCAATTATGGAGGAAGGAGGGGCAGAGGGTGGTATCTAGGAAGTCTGACAAACAAGCTGCGCTTTAGCCATCCTCACACTCTTTTCACAGGTCTTTAACTTCATCCTCACTTATGTGCCCTTCTTCCCATCTTTTTCCCATGACTTTTGAAGATCTGATCTTAACAGAAAGCTCTCTGTGTAACCGCATTGGTCTCTTTAAGTGGCTTCCTCTGTCTTCTTCCTAATTGTCAGCATTTTATTGTCAAAAGCCTCTCCCCTCTCTCGCTATACAGTGATTTCACACACACACACACACACACACACACACACACACACACACACTTTGCCTCCTGGTTTGAGGGTACTTTTCCTGGGCAGTCTGAGTTCCCTCAGGAGTGATCAACTTTATCCTCTGGTTTTAACCTCTGCAGACCAGGGAACATATGGAGAAGACGGGCTGGAAAAAAGGTTGTTCAGGGCCAACCAGCCCTAGGGAGTAGGAGGCTACTCTAGCCCCCATCCCTACCTTGGCTGTTCTGTTCCAGGGGCCCCATTAGAGTTCAATGCCTTCCCTCACCCCATTATAATTTCTTGTGTAATATGTAGAGAATGACAGCCTCCTCTTACTGCTGGTGTGCTACCACTTCTGTGTGTGCAGCAGATACTGTCTTAGTAAGTTATTGTTATATTGCGACCTATGATAAATGGACATTTGTGGGACACTTTTCACCCTTTGTGTGCCAGAGAGAGGGAGAGAATCTTGCCTGAGTGACTTCTCACAGAAAGCTCCAGAGGTGTTCTGAGCTGATAGCCTGGTCTGGCAGGTGCTCTTACATTGGCATTCAAGGCTGTCAATCACTGTGACCCTTCCAGTCAGCTCTGTACTAGGTATCTGTAAGGGATTAGCCTTCTTTGTTAAACATAATACTGAACACACCAAGGAATAAACAAAGAATGGCTCAGGAAAGACCTATGGGCAGGGGCAGTCCTGCCGGTGTCACTAACTGATACCTTTAGTTTCACCCTCCTTCAGCTCTGTATTCTTTACACCTAGGCCAGTTACAGGTCCTATCAGTTTTACCTCTTTCATTCCTCTCCCATGTGCATTTCTTCTCTTCACCCCCCACTCCTTTTGTTGAGCCCTGAACAACCATCACCTAGACAAATAACCAGTCTCCCTACCCCCAATCTCAGTCCCTCCAATCCTGTTCCCATGCTGCAGTCAAATCAGTCTTCTCAAAATACAAATCTGACCTGCTGAAAATCAACCTCTTCTGTTGCTCCTAGTACCCTTGGGATAAAGTCCAAACTACTTAGCATGGTACCCAGAGCCCTTCATCATTGGACTCCTGCCAAATTCTCAGCCTCAATCTGGCAGTGTTCCCACTTCACACCTAGACACAATGAACTATAATACTTTGCAGGTTTCTGAACAAGTCATTTCTAGCTTTGCTTCTGAGCCTTTACACATGATACTCCCTCTGCCTGGGACATCCTTTACACACTAACTTTTCTGCCATCTGTCTAGCCAGTTCTCACTCATTCCTTACAGTTTCAACTAAACTCCCTCAGCCCAAAACACTGGTATCACTGATGCCTAATGAAGCATATGAAACATAATAAAATCTCAGTAGACATCTGACAAATAATTAATTAATACTCCCAAGTCAAGTGGTTATATGCAAAATCATCTCTGAGGGAAACTGACAGAGTTGATTGGTCCCTCCCTCTATAGGAGAGAGACCACTCTTCAATAGTATCTTTACTGTATGTACTAAGTTGCAATTCCTTCTTTAACATGTCTTTCTCCCTAATTCAACTGTGAGCATCTCAAGGGCAGGTCTATGTCTCATCCACCTCAGTATCCTACCTAGCTCCCTGCAAAGCATTTGGAACATAATGAATGAGTAGCCTTTTCAAATACTTCACAGTTTTGTCTGTCATCTCATCTCCCTCTGTTCCCTTCCCCCCAAACTCTCATCACCAATATAGCCAAAATGTTACTCTTGGTTTAACAAACATGCAGGGCTGCTCCCCCTTCCTGAAACTTTTCACCAGCATTCCTCTTACCTGGAATGTGCTTTCAATCCACCCACTCATCTACCCAACACCTGTTGCTTCTTTAAGAACTAGTTTTGGGGAACCGGCAGTTAGCGTAATGGCTATGTCACTGGACTCCCACGTAGTCAACCGCGGTTCGTGTCCCAGACCCAATGGCTTAAAACTCACGCCGGGTGCGTGTGCGTGTGTGCCCAAGATCCCGAGAGGAGAATGGAAGAGAAGGGATTGCGGCATGACCATCCCCCCTGGGGGGTGATTTCTCGCTTTCTGTCTCTGTCTCTCTCTCTCTGTCTTTCTGGCGAGCACACGCACCCTATAGCGAAAAAAAAACCTCTCCAAAAAAAAAAAGAAAAGAAAAGAAAAAAGAACTAGTTCTGATTCTCTCTTTCTCAGAAACCTTTCATGGGGCCATCCTGGCTCACCTCTAAAGTAGCGCTAAGGATTCCATACATCTCATTTAACTCTCTGCATCCTCTCATGATACTCAAGGGAAACCAAATACTTGGAAAGAAAAAAGACTCTCTTGGGGGCACACAGCATGTTCAGTGGTAGAACTTCCCACTAGTGGGAGAATCCATAGAATAGAGACTTGGGGTCAGGTGCTACTCCTACCACTGAACATGCTGTGTAGTCCAAAGAGAGTCCCTTTTCTTATATAGTTTCTTCATATAAACTAGAATTTTCTTTAAGGCTGGGCTGTCTCCCATCCCTTCATCTTTCCAGAACCTTACTGGAGTGTTAAGAGAGCTCTAAGCCAGACTGCCTGAGTTTCTATCTTATCTGCATCGGTTATCTTAGGTAACTTAACCACACTAAACCTCAGCTTCTCCTTATGTAAATGAGTATAACAATAGTACCTGTCTCATAAAATTGTTGTGAAGATTAGATGAGTAGTGCATGTAAAGTGCTTAGAGCAGTATGAAGCACCTAGTATGTGCTCAGAAAAGACTACGTTCCTTATTTTTATCATTATCCACATTAACAAATCCTTGCTGGCAACAGTTGATTAAAAATTAGAATTCCAGTTACTGGGAGCAAGAGGGAGTAAGGGAAGAAAGTAGACCACAGAACCTGTCTGAGACTGTTGGAATCCAAACAAGGTTAGTGATGCGGCAGGATGTTTGTACGTATATCCTAGTTCCTAGAGCCATATGACTGTGCCGGCCCCAAGCACATGGCTCCATCCTGGCGGGGAAGCTTCCTTAACTCTAGCTCAGCTAGTCTCAGCAGCCTGTAGGGGGAGTCAGGAAGCTAGTACAGGAATGGGGGTGGGGAGGGGGCGGCTGCTGGAAATCTTCCTAAGAGCAAAACGACACCCCACCGGTCCACCTCTTCGCCTTATCCAGTACACCTCCAAGGTTCAGCCCTCTTCCATATCTAGACTGGGAGCTGTCCTTCAGCACCAGGGACCCTCTGGGCCTCCTGCAGGACAGTGAGGGTGAAGGAGTTAGGGACACAGGACTGTTCCTATCCTCAGCGGTCTCCAGTCCCTCCTAGTCACGGAGACCGGGGAGGCGACTCAGGGAGGCAGCGAGACCCTACGGAGATGTCTAAGAATCACCCTCAGAAGTCCCCTAGTCCTTGCGGGGAACCAGGGGTGGCCCTGGGGAGGGAGATAGTCGCTTGGGCTGGTGGAGGAGGGCGAGCGCCGGGGTCTGGGACTCAGAGTTTGGTGTGTGCAAGCGGGTAGCAGGCGGATGAACCGAGGCGCTGGAGTGAATGGAGTTGGGGGTGGACTGGAAACATCCCCAAACAGCACTGGCTGAGGCCGGCGGAGACTGGGGGGTGGGGTGTGTGTGTATGTGGGGAAGAGTGAGTCCTTAGGCGCAGGCGCAGTCGGAGCCCCGGTCCCGCTTCCTCCTCCTCTCGGTGCCTCTTTCTCCGCCCCGCTCCCCCCAAGCACACTCGCAC